TCACAGAGAGGCTCTGTAATTTGCCTGAAGTCACACAGCTAATAAGCAGTTATGCTGGGACTCAAATTCACTGACAATAAAGCCACATTCTTCAACTTTACTATTATATCTTCAATGGCCACCTATTATAAATAATGATGCTGCTTGGGGCATTATAAGATAGGCATTTGACAAGTATGGGAGACATCTATCCAACTGAGATCAAAATGTATGAATTAGAAACCTATATATCTACATATGGTACATGTGTGTGTATATAAGTATCTTTGTATACATATCTTCCAAACCTGTTAAATCTAAATATGCAGAACTGAAATCTCCATAAATATCACTTTTGTGAAATCTTATAAATATCACAAGGCAAAAAGCCAGAAATGCAAAGAGGCAGGGAAACGACTAACGTTAATGTGCTCCCTGTGTATCTGGCATTTGAAGTTATTTCACGCAAGCCTCAAGACTTGCAATGCAGAGGCTGCCCCCATTTTACAGATGAGGAAATGGTGGCTTAGAGGTTCATGGCCCAAGTTCACACAGCTGCTAAGAGGCAGATCCACATTCAAACCAGGATTCCTGTGGGCTCAAAGCCCAGACTTCTAAAATCATTTTTACTGACATTTAATATCTTGTGCTGTTTTTATCTGTCTCCTGAGTGTCAGTGCAAGCACTGTTAAAAAATAAACAAATGGAAAGAAAACAGAACAAGGAACGTTGCCCTGCCTCTTCAGTGTCTCATAGTTGAAAACAAGTGGAACATCCGTATGGTCTCCTAAAGCCTCACAAGCACGGCTGAGCCCATCCTGGAGCCCCTGCAGCTCGTTCTGTACCTGACTTGCATTCTCGCTGTATGCAGAACTTCTGCTCAGTTGCTCCAGGTTTCAAAAACTACATCTCGTGATAAGCACACAGGCCTGAGGCCCCATGATCAGCTGTCTATCCCATTAACAATGAACAATGGATGGGGAATGTCCGCTCCATATACATCCCGGAGAATAAGTTTAGTACCCAGCTCCTGGGGACAAGCCATTGGACACCAGTTGCATCAGCACTGAGCATCACTTCTGAATGCGACCATTGTGGAGGCAGCCCCACCACACAGAGGGGACAGCGCCAAATGGACTGTTTTCTTTTTCTTTCTGTCTTTTAAAATCACATCACATGATTCCTTCACTTCGACATCAAATATCCTGCTGTTATAAGGAACAAGCCTGAATTATCTTCTCAAGCTGATTAGGAAAGACGACCAACGTGGTTACCAGTGGTTCCTGCAGGGAGTCAGGGGACTGGGACCTCAGTCTGCCCTGCCGATGGTGGTGCCTCTGATATAGAGTCCTACCCACATTATTTGTAAAGAAAAAATAAAAAGAAGGCTGGGCATGGTGGCTCATACCTGTAATCCCAGCACTTTGGGAGGCCGAGGTGGGTGGATCGCTTGAGCTCAGGAGTTTGAGACCAGCCTGGGCAACATGGTGAAACCCCATCTCTACTAAAAATACAAAAATTAGCCAGGCATGGTGGCATGTGCTGGTAATCCCAGCTACTTGGGTGGCTGAGGCAGGAGAATAGCTTGAACCCGGGAGGCAGAGGCTGCAGTGAGCTGAAATTGTACAACTGCACTCCAGCTTGGGTGACAGAGTGAGACCCTGTCTCAAAAAAAATTTTTTTTAAAAAGGAAAAAAAGAAAAAATTAAGTCCCAATTTTATCTCCATTCATAACACACGACTCAGCACTCTCCTGCTGCACCTCCCAGATATCAGAATTATTTTGGATCAAATGACACTAATTTACTAGGTTTTTTGGTCTTGGGCATGTTAAGAGCATTCTTTTGTCTCACCCCTGAGTTCCTACAACTCTATGATATTTGTATCATGGAACGGCCTCCCTAAAACAGGAAGCGGATGAGGGACAGGAATGTCGTGTTAGGTCTGGCAGAATCGGAAACTCTGGTTCTAGCCCCCGCTCCCACTCAACCTGCCTGGCCAGGTGGCCTTAGACAAGTCTCCACACGGCCTCCATAAGCCCTCCCAGCTCCTTTGTGCTAATGAGGAAAAGGTGACCCTCAAGGGGAAGTGGTCCTGCCAGCACCAGTCTTGGCAAGTGTGCCCCCAGCTCGGTTCTGCCCCAGCCCCTCAGTCAGGACATAACCCGCACAGCCATTGGCAGAGCTCCGTGTCTCTGTTTCAGCTTGTTAGTTTTGGAGGGACAGATCATGTGTCCCACCAAATTCTCTGCACTGATGAGGCAAACAGGACATAGAGAACAGCTTCTGAATTAGCCTATTGATAGATTTCTGTTGCCCTGCTTCAGTTCGCCCTCACTTCCCGGGCACTCCATAATACTCTGGATGAAAAGCAAAGACACCGTTATGATTTTGAAGTTACTACTTCCACACTCAGAGGACCAGCCCCTTCAGAATTTGATCAAAAGTAGGGTGGGCTTTATAAGTGGGCAACCTGTGCAACTGCACGGGACCCCATGCTCAGAAGGGCTCTGTGCTTGGTTTAATACTCTCATGTTACCCTGTTGAAATTCTTAGTGCTTTTTGAGCAAGGAACCCTGCACTTTCATTTTGTACTATGCCCAGCAAATTATGTAGCTAGTCCTATCAACAAGACTTCAAAAGCACCAAATAGCTTTCTTATATCTCACAAAAGATTTCGATAAGGAAAACAGCAGGTGTCATTCTGCTACTCCAGAGTCATCTGACCCCTCTGTCAGATCATGGACGCTCTAATCATAGTATGCAAGGCAGTATTGAGTACTGCTCAGAGCCCAGGCTTTAGGAGGCAAATTGAGCTGGGTGCAGTCCTGCATCCTGCAAGACCTCAAACAAATGATCTAACCTGCCTGAACCCAGGTTTCCTTATTTGGCAGGTAGACTAGTAATGCCCACTCTTCCCTATGCATAATGAAGAAAGATCTATAAACTGCCTGGCACACAGCAGGTGTACAACAATGCCAGTCCCCTTCCTGGCTTGTTTCAGGGACAGATGCTTCCAGATGGGCCATGCCTTCACATTCCAAAAGGCAGGGAGGTGATAGGTGGCCCTGAAGATCCTTTCGGCTCTAGGAGTCTATGATTCTTCATTAACCAAAGCCTGAAGCCAGCTCGCCTTCAGTCCACAGATATTAGCCAGGATACTTTGGATCACAAGGATGGACACCCAACTTGTATTAACTTAGACCAAGGAAGTTTGCTAGTTAATGAAACTGGGAAGCCCAAGGACAGAGACACTGCTGTGTCTGAGGATTTGTACAGTGTTATACTCTCTCTCTCTCTCTCTCCCCCCCCCCACCCACTTTATGTAGTGGACAAAATGCCACTAAGAGCCCTAGACTCACTCACTTTCACCCTAGTAGACCCAGTAGGAGAGAGGCATGTATCTCTCTCAGTATCTATATATCGGCCAAGGGAAAGACTCTAATTGACTCTAATCCTGCTTGGATTACATCTACACTGCTGAACCGATCCTGACTGCCAGAGTCACAGGGCACGTGCCCACATGGGTGACCAAGGGCAGGACAAAGGGGTTCAAGCCTCATGACTGGCAGCCCCCAAGAGGCCATACAATGGGGGAAGGGGAAATAAGGAAAATAAGGATGCTGGGCAGAGAAAGGCAACATCCCCACTGAGCAGCATGCAGTTTACTGTTCACTTCCACTAGGTGCTGAAGGAAATGAGGCCGGGGAGAGTTGAACCGCGGTGGTACCGCCAGCAGCGCTTAAACCAGCCTTCACAGAAGGATAGAAAATATACGGACACGCCGGGCGCGGTGGCTCATGCCTGTAATCCCAGCACTTTGGGAAGCTGAGGCAGGCAGATTGCTTGGGCTCAGGAGTTCAAGACCAGCCTGGGAAACATGGCAAAACCCTGTCTCTACTAAAAATACAAAAAATTAGCCAGGTGTGGTGGCATGCACCTACAATCCCAACTACGGGGAGGCTGAGGCATGAGAATCACTTGAACCCAGGAGGCAGAGGTTGTAGCGAGCTGAGATCACATCATTTCACTCCAGCCTGGGCAAGAGTGAGACTCTGTCTCAAAGGAAAAAAAAAAAAAGAAAGAAAGAAATGAAACTATATGGACACATATCACTTAGGAGAAGCTCTGTGAGGAAAGGCAAAGACAGGAAACTCAGGGTGTGTTCCTAGCTACCAGCTGCATAACCACAATTAACCTCACAGGTTAATTGCAGTTTTTAATAGTTATGTGTTTATATTTATGGTTACCTTTCATTTATGCGAGCAATACTGAGTTTCCATTTTTGTGCTCCCCAAAATTTCCTTTTTAAGAAACTTTAAGTAAAAATGAATGTCAATTGAAAGGAAAATAATAAGCAAATAATAATTTGCTTATTATTTAGACACAGGTAACTGTGGGTGCAATAGTGCATGTATTATGCCAATGACCGAAATATGGGATACAGCTCAGCACAGTATATAAACATGACTTTATCTTCCTAAGGAGCACTAAAACAAAAACTGTGCTTTCACTGGTTCCTATAGTATCTCCAACAAACCAAAATATATGTCTCTCCTTGTATGGATGGCAAAGATCCAAGTCAGCAAATGAACCTGTAGTAAGATCCTAGAACCCTCAGCTTCTGACCTATTCCTTAGACATAGCCATGTCTCATGACAAGCGGGGAGAACCATCAATCCAGGACACTGGCCCACAGTATTATTCTCTGTATCAGAGGCAGACACACAAAGGTGAGGTTGATATGAAAATCCCTCATTGCAGAGCTGGCCAGGATGATTGTCTTTGAGAACAGAGGGGCCCATTCTCCTGGTCATCCAAGGCCAGCTGGCCCCAAGGAGTACCAGTCACCTCTCTGGGGCCAGAGTCTCCCCAGCTGATTTCCACATGTGCCAGTGTGTGAAGTGATAGCTGGTCCCTCGTTAGGATGACTGCTTGGTCCTCTACTTTGCTACTGATTTTACCCAGAGATCATTTAGGCATGTCTATATTGTCATCTCACCTTTTCAATCATTTTTCCAGGCTAAAGCAAGCAGTCCTCAGGGTTTTGATGTGGATCGAGATGCCAAAAAGCTGAACAAAGCCTGCAAAGGAATGGGTATGAGAGATATTTTGTTGCTAATTTACTTCTGAAGTTGATTAAACTTGGTCTCCTGTCCAACTTTCCCATGATGTTAGGAAGGGGACATCTCACCATCTTGTGTATTCCAAGCTAACTCAAGTCGATCACTTCCATTGACCTCTTTATTAAAGTTCTCGAAATTATAGTCAGATCCTGTTACTTTTCAGGATTCTATATAAGAGTTAGGAGTTGGATAGTATGACATTTAATTCGACCTTGAGGTGAGAGAACCCTCATGAGAAGTACAGTTCATACAATCCTGGTGTATTAGTCTGTTCTCACTCTGCTAATAAAGACATATCTGAGACGGTAATTTATAAAGAAAAAGAGGTTTATAGGCTTGGTGTGGTGGCTCACACCTGTAATCCCAGCACTTTGGGAGGCCAAGGCGGGCAGATCACCTGAGGTCGGAAGCTCAAGAACAGCCTGATCAACATGGAGAAACCCTGTCTCTACTAAAAATACAAAATTAGCTGGGCATAGTGGTGCATGCCTGTAATCCCAGCTACTCGGGAGGCTGAGGCGGGAGAATTGCTTGAATCCGGGAGGCAGAGGTTGCGGTGAGCCGAGATCNGTCTCAAAAAAAAAAAAGAAAAAAATTCAGCAAGCGATTTATGTACTATATTGTTTTTAATTTTTCTTAATGAGATTTAATGGACTCACAATTCCACATGGCTGAGGAGGCCTCACAAGCATGACAGAAAATGAAGCAAGAGCAGAGGGACTTCTTACATGGTGGCAGGCAAGAGAGAATTGAGAACCAAGTGAAAGGGGTTTCCCCGTATGAAACCACCTGATCTTGTGAGACTTATTCACTACCACGCAAACAGTAGGGGGAAAACCAACCCCATGATTCAATTATCTCCCACTGGGTCCCTCTCACAACATGTGGGAATTATAGGAGCTATGATTCAAGATGAGATTTGGGTGAGGACACAGCCAAACCATCTCACCTGGTATGATCTAAACCCCTCTGATCCCTTCCTTGGGAGATGATGGGGAAATTGAGTCTGATGAGAGCTGGATTAGGGACCTTGAAGTGGCATGTACAAGTAGATCAAATAAGTGCAAAATTGGCCAAGAGCAACAATCAAGAGTTGAAAATGGAGAAGCTGTTTATATCCTAAGGGTCAGTGCACAGCCAAGAGTGGGGAACTCAGCAAGAAGTCAAAACTAAGGCAGACCAGGGACCAGGGTGGGATGAGGGAGAGAGCATCTCGGTCTAGGGCCACGAAAAGAGATCCTTTGATTCAAGGAAGCTGCTCATGATATAAGGTCTAGTCCCAGAAGCCTGGGAGAGGGTAAGATCCAAAGCACAGATGCAAGGATTTCCCTTGAACAGGACAGGGAGGGAAGGCGCCGGGACTGACAGCTGGAGTAGACACCTTCATGGTGTTGTTGAGGGAGAAATTGAAGGCACCCATGCCTGGCAACCTGACATTGCTCAGTGAGTGGGAGGTGAGGTTATCTGCTGAAGAGAAGGGTTTGACAATTGAGTATGGGGCTTGAGTGGTGGCTTGAAATAGCCCTTGAGTAGCAGAGAAGGGGTAGACAATCAACAGAAGACAACTGATGAACCCTGAGGGGCACGCTGAGTAGGGAGATCATGGTTTCTCGTGGCTCCAGCCCATGTGGTTGTGTGATTTTCCCCTGTAGCCTTGAAGGTAAAACGAGAAATTGATTGACCCAGGTTTGCTGATCAGGAGTTCCAGGACAACAAGCAAGTGAAATCACTGAAGGGGACAGAGGGGTCAAAGGGCAAAGTGAATTTATTTCTCAGATTTTCTTTTTTACATTGTTGAGAAATGGTTAAGCTCTCAGGCATTGGGCTAAGCACTTGATTTACAAAATCTTAACAAGTTCTTACAAAAATCAATTTTCCAGCTGAGGAAACTAAGGCTCTGCCATGTTAAGTAAGACAGTCAAAGTCACCAAGCCAGTAAGTGGGGAACACTGGGAGTGAACCTATTCTCAACACTCACTCCAAATGCCACCAGTTTAGAGACATCCTAGCTAGGGCACCTCAGCCACATGGCTGCAGTCCTGGAGGGGATGGGGACAGACTGAGAAAACATTGCTCCATATCATTAACAACAGGTAGGAGCCATCTCAGTCCACAGAATGTTTTATCAATTTTTCTGCTTATTGTGATATAATTTGCAAACCATGAAATTCACGCTTTCACAGCATGCAATTCAGAGTTTTAGTATATTCACAGGATTTTGCAACCATCACCACTAATTCCAGAATATTTCATCACCTCAGAAATAAACCTCACACCTATTAGCAGCCCCTCCGTCCCTTCAGCTCCAGGCAATCACTATGCAGAGGCCAGCACTTCATTGTGCATATACATGGAGCCCAGCAGAGCCTATATGAATTAATGTGTATGTATCGAAGAATGAATGAATGAATGAATGAGGAAGTTTGTATGTCATCATGACAGAACCTTGTCTCTGAAGTGGTGTAGGCTGCATGTGATACTCAGATGGGTCTCTGTAGCAAGGACCAATAGAAATCCTCCCTACTCTGATGCCATATGCAGCCCACATCTGGATAATCAGGAAAATGAAATTCATATTTCCATCTCTACTAAAAATACAAAATTAGCCAGGCAAAGTGGCACATGCCAGTAATCCCAGCTATGGGAAGCTGAGGTAGAAGAATCGCTTGAACCTGGGAGGCAGAAGTTGCAATGAGCTGAGATTGCACCATTGCACTCCAGCCTGGGCAAAAAAAGCAAAACTTTGTCTCAAAATAATAATAATAATAATAATAATAATAATAATAGTAGTAGGACTTTTTAGACTTTCTTCCTGGGAATGCTTTAAAAAAAAAAAGAGAGAGACCAATCCAAATACCCATTATTGATAGACTGGATAAAGAAAATGTGGCACATATACACCACGGAATACCACCCAGCCTTAAAAAAGAATGAGTTCATGTCCATTGCAGGGACATGGATGAAGCTGGAAACCATCATTCTCAGCAACCTAACACTGGAACAGAAAACCAAACACTGCATGTTCTCACTCATATGTGGGAGTTGAACAATGAGCCCAGCACCTCAGTGGCCCTTGTCGTATGTGGGTTGCCTCCTTTGGAACAATATTGTTCTGGGATCCAAAATCTTTGTACTGGGATCCAAAATCTGCACAAAGCCAATGAGATTGGTATGAGCATCAAGTAGATACACCCTTGTTCTCCATTACTGAGGGCGAACTGAGTTGAATGAGGGCTCCCCAAAAATATATCCCCCCAGAACCTGTGAACATGACTATTTGGAAAAAGAGTCCTTGCAGATATAATTAAGTTAAGGATCCTGAGATGAGATTATCCTGGATTACCTGGGTAGGCCGTAAATCTAATGACTAGTGTCCTTAGAAGAGACAGAGGAGGAGACACACAGAGAGGCCATGGGAAGATGGAGACAGAGATTAGAGAGATACGGCCACAAACCCAAGAATGCTAAGGGTTCCCGGCAGAAGCCAGGAGAGGCAAGGAACAGACTCTGCTGCAGGGCAGCTGGTGGGAATGTGGGCCTGCCAACACCAGCATTTCAGATTTCCACCTCCCAGAACTGTGTAGGAATAGGCTACTGTTGTTTTAAGCCACCAAGTTTGTGGTCATTAATCAGCAGCCTCAGGAAACTGAGACAGGGGATGAGTGGGAAGCAATGACCTGCTCAGGCAGGCAGGACTGTGCCATTCATTACTTCCTCTTTCTTCCCTGCACTCCCACTTCCCAAGGAGAAATGAGGGACTTCGCAGCCCAGCAGTGCTAGCAGAAGAGAATGTCCCTTGAGCACCAGAGTGGGGGCTGCAGCCTCCTGGGCTCGGCAAGGCAGACTGGGCTGGCATTGGAGCCCAAGGGAAAGCTGAGCCTCTACCACGGCCCCGATCACTGCTCTGGCTCATGGGCCTGGGGGGCTTCCCACCCTGTCTGTGGCCCCCATTCCTGCTGAAATGTGACTCGGTGTCATCCCAGAAAATTTCTGGGAAAAGCAAAACCAAGGAGGCCAGGAGGCACTTCCTGAGGCTGATTATTGTCCCGGCTATGACCTCTGCTGTGAAATTACAGTGTCCAGTGTGTGGCTCCTTCTTTTCTCATTTTAAAAAAGGCCTTTCCCAGAACCACTGGGGACTAGCCCTCGTGCCTCAAACCATTGTAAGTATTTACAGGAAATCATTCAGCAGTACTGCTTATATGATACACATATTGTGAAATGTAGAGTTAGGTCACTGTTCAGTGACCGGGTGTAGAAACATCCCCAACAGCCTGAGACCTGGACTCAGAGAGGACTTCGGGGAAACCCAGTGTTGTTTTCACGGCCTCCCCCACCTCAGGTTGCTGCTGGGCCACCTCAGGACTTTCGCAATCTGGTTTCTCGCTTTTTTTTTTAGCTTTAAAATTTCTAGACGTTTGTTAGGTTATTATTATTATTCTACTTTAAGTTCTGGGATACATGTGCTGAACATGCAGGTTTGTTAGATCGGTATGCCCGTGCCACGGTGGTTTGCTGCACCCATCAACCCGTCATCTACATTAGCTATTTTTCCTAACGCTCTCCCTCCCCTATCCACCCCCCTCCCCTATCCCCCCACCCCCTACAGGGCCTGGTGTGTGATGTTCCCCTCCCTGTGTCCATGTGTTCTAATTGTTCAACTCCCACATATGAGTGAGAATACGCAGTGCTTCGTTTCTGTTCCTGTGTCAGTTTGCTGAGAATGATGGTTTCCAGCTTCATCCATGTCCCTGCAAAGGACATGAACTCATTCCTTTTTATGGCTGCATAATATTCCATGGTGTTTATGTGCCACATATTCTTTATCCAATCTATCATTGACAAGTATTTGGGTTGGTCTCTCTCTTTTTGTAAAGGATTCCCAGAAAGAAAGTCTAAAAAACACTATTATTTTTAATATTAATTTCATTTTCTGATTATCCAGTTTTAGGCTACATGTGGCATCAGAGTAGGGAGGATTTCTATTGGTCCTTGCTATGCAGGCCCATCTGAGTATCACATGCAGCCTACACCACTACAGAGACAAGGTTCCGTCGTGATGACATGCAAACTTCCTCATTCATTCATATATGCACGTTTAAGCATCCATTCATTCAGCAAGTCATCTGATAAATACTGACAGCCTTCTGTTGGAATATGATAGTAAACAAAACACTCTGCTCCCTTGGAACTTGGAATGTGTCCCGGTAGAGACAGGAAGAGCAGGCAGCATGAGGGACACAGAGGCAGAAAAGCCTCATCCGTCCGGAAGTGTGCAGGGAGTTGAGACCTGAAGGAGAAGTGAGAGTGGATGTGAAGATCGGCGTGTTCCAGATGGGGCAACAGCCTATGCAAAGGCCTAGAGGTGAGAGAGAAAGTGTTGTTTGTTCTAGGAGCTGCAAATCATCCACAAGGTGGGTGGAAAGTAGCTTGGGAGAGAACAGGTAGAAGGATGAGACTTTGAGAGGCCAAAAGACCCCATAGGCCCCACTGGATAGTTGAAGCCTCATTCTGCATTTGAAAGGGCCTATACTGAAAAGTTTGGAGCAGAGGGGTGAGCAGGCCAATCCGCACTTCCAAATGGTTGTTCTGGGGGCGGTGAACGCTGATTGGAAAAAGTGAGAACAAGAGAGGAGCCTGCATGTGGGTGGCATCCATTGTTCTGCTGAGTGATGGGGTGGAGGTGAGGATGGAGAGAAATGTGTTCATCTGAGAGGCACTAAGGAGGTAGGATGGAGAGGCCTTAGTCTGAGTGAATGTGGGTGAGGGAAAAGGGAGAGCCAGGCTTGAGCCCCAGCTTCCTGGCTGGCCCAGTGCAGTGAATGGGCAAAAAAGCTCCTTCCTGGCCTGGCACCTGCCAGGATCCAGGACCGAGAGGCCAAGGCCCTTACCTGGGACAGGAGTGGCCTGAATGGAAAGAAAGGGATAGGTTCAAGACATATTTACAAGAAAAAGAAATCCCTTTTAAAGTGAGATTTCTGGCACTCAGAAGTTTTTTTAAAAAAAAAATCACAATAGCGTCATAGAATGAGTAATTGGATACCCATGATGGAGGCGAAGCTCCGGAAGGAAATGAATGGGAACAACGTAAATCCTGGTGTTGGAACCAAGCCAGCACCAAGCAGACAACTCACTCCTGCTATTTTCGCAAGTGAGTTCATCCTAGAATTTTCTGTTTCTCCCGTTGGAACCAAACAGCTAAACGTTCCCAGAGCTGTAGAGGTGAAAATACTCCTTGAGGTTAAGTGAACGGTTCAAGGACCCAAAGGTTTGGAACCCAGTTCTCAAATCAGATTCCTGCTCAGAACTCTCTTTCTAAGTCCTGTCTCTGTCATTCCAAAGCTGACTCTGAGGGCTGGTGCCGGAGTGGAGGGAGGGTAAAACAGCTCACATTTTTTTTTTTTTCCGGGGCTCCCTTTTTTTCTCTTCCCCATCTCCAGCCAGGTTTCCTCCATTCATTTCCCATTCCCATGGCCTAGACTTTTCCTGCTCTCAACCCTTCCATCAAAATGCATCTGCACGATCTTGTTTCTTCAGGATCCCGATGGCTCAGCTGGGTAGCAGCCATCACCCAGGTCCATCCACCAACCAGAGCAAGACAGCAGTAAGTGGCACTGTAACAGGACAAACTGCCATTCAGTGGCCCCTCCCGCCCAGGTGCCGGGCTCAGACTGTCCATTCTGCAGTCTTAGATACTCACTGCAGTGATCCTACAAATATACATGTACATAGTGTGCTGTGGAAGAACAGAGGAAGCAGAAACTTAAATATGGCCGAGATTAGATGAACAAGCCTTGGGCTGCCGTGCACAGAGATGGGTCCAGAAGAGTAGTATGACACCAAACTGCAGGCAGCCTCAATGTCACCGTAAGGGCTTCTGATTTCATTCTAGGAGTCAAGAGGAATCACTAAAGGTATTTGAAGTATGGCATGAAATGAACACATGTGAGCGTCCCAAGGTGGATGGCAGAGAACAGAGCCTGATATTGGGGTGGGGGCTAAAAACGCTTAGGGCCTGTAAGGCAAGGACTGTAGCAGTGAAGGAGAGGAACAGGTCAAAGAGTGTCTTATAGGTGAGAGAGATGGGACTTGGTAGTATTTGAGAGTAAAAGAGACAGGTGGGCCCTCAAAGGTGACTTCGGATTTTCTCTAATACAGGTCATGCCAGGTGCTAAGACAAAGGAACACGGTGGGGAGTAGATTTAAGGATAGACAAAATGAGTTCAGTTTAAGCTAGGATGAAAGTTGAAATGCCTTGGGAAATTGGGAAGCTGGCTACAGGGAACTGAAAATCAGGTCTGAACTCAGAGGAGACATTAGGGCTAGAGGCACTGATCTTGGATTCACCAGTGAAAAGGCGACAGTGGCCTGGGAAAGGAGTGACTCCAACTAAAGAGGAGAACTAAAAACCGAGTTCAAAAGGCAAGTGGAAGAAGAAAGGCCAATCAAGGATGCTGAGAGGGAGGTGATGAAGAAGAGAAAGAAAGAACCAGGAAAGGAGGTTCAAAGCCATCTAGGAAGGTGTTTCACACAAAGAATTGTCAACTGCAGGCAGGACGTGGTGGTTCACACCGGTAATCCCAGCACTTTGGGAGGCTGAGGTGGGCAGACCACCTGAGGCCAGGAGTTTGAGACCAGCCTGATCAACATGGTGAAACCCCTTCTCTACTAAAAACACAAAAATTAGCTGGGCATGGTGGTGCGTGCCTGTAATCCCAGTTACCCGGGAGGCTGAGGCAGGAGAATTGTTTGAAACCAGGAGGTGGAGGTTGCAGTGATCATGCCACTACACTCTAGCCTGGGTGACATAGCCAGACCCTGTCTCAAAAAAAAGAATTCCCAGCTGCAGAATTCAAATGCTGCAGAACGGTCAGGTATACGCAGGAACGGAGAAGAGGCACTGCATTTTGCCTCAGCTTCCTCATCTGTAAATAATAGCTTGGACTAGACTGCCTCTGACGCTTCCTCCAGCTCCTGTGACTACTAAGTGCTGTGCCTTGATCCCAGCGAGCTCAGTCACTGGGGCGAGCAATTCATGGAGGCTGGTCCCTGTGCAAGCCCTGCATGGATGTGAGGCAGTGCCAGGCACCTGGTCATTTACATCCCCTCGTGTCCCAGCTTTCCCAGGTGTGCTCTTAGGACCACCATGGATTGGACCCATACTTGGATCCTCACATTTCATTCTCACAATAGCCTTGTATACTATTATCCCCATCTTACAGGTGGGAAAACTGAGACTTGGCAAGGCAAATCCAGTGTCATGTAGTCTGTACAGGGTGGAGCCATGATTTGAATCCAGTCTGAAGAAATCTAACGTGGGGTTTGATGTTAAAACAGTCCTTCTCCTCCCCACACTGGCAGTACCTGGGTCATCTTACCAATCCTGGTTCCTGGTTCAAACAAGGATTTTCTCCCCATCTCTCTTATTCACTATAGCTTTCAGTACTGATGAAGTTGCTGCCACGAGCTTGCATTACTTTGAGCATCAGGGAAAAATCTTTTTACAAATAGCATAATTCAGAGGTAATAGGAGCAAAAGGGGGCAACCCCTCTTCATGGTTTCAATCAGGACTTCGCTCCTGAAATTAACAAGTACATGGGTGGGATTAATATTGTAACAATTTGAGCCTGTGTCCTAATCTTGTTCATGCAATTGTAAGCATCCAGAGGCCAAGGAACAGCCCATACTTTTCCTTGTTGTTTTTTTAAAAACGTTTTTCTTGAGATAGAATTCATGCACCATATAATTCACCCTTTAAAGTGTTTAATTCAACAGTTTTTATTAATACTCACAGACACGTGCAACCGCCACCATAGTCGATTTTAGAACATTTTCATCACTTCAAAAAGAAGCCCTGGACTCCAGCTACCATCCCCCTAGGCAGTCCACCCACCCCCAGCCACTAGTATACTGCCAGCCTCTGTATATTCTCCTATTCTGGACTTTCCTATGAATGGAATTATATAACACGTGATCTGCAATGATTGACTTCTTTCACTTAGCCTCGTGTGTCCCAGGTTCATGCGTATTATAACATCTGTCAGTAACGTATTCCTTTTTCTGGCTAAATAACATTCCATTTTATGGAGACTCCACATTTTGTTTATTCATTCTTCAGGTGATGAACATTGGGGTTGTTTCCACTTTGCAGCTATTATGAGTAATGCTGCTATGAACATTCACGGACAAGTGTTGTATGGACATAGGTTTTCATTTCCTTAGGAATAAAATTAGGGAACCAGCCATACTTGTTTCTCTTTCCAGCGACGCCTAGCACTGTGTGCCATGCGCTGTGAGGCCTCAATGGCTATTTGTCTAAGTGAGTGAATGGAATACAGTTTGCAGCACAAGGCATCAAAGCTGAGGGTCCATCTGGTTCCATAGACGCCTCTAACCACCTTTAAGCTGAGTCCCGACTTCCTCACCCAGGACTGAAAAAAACTTCCATCTTATTTCTTGTTCACTGTGGCTTTGTTTGTTTCTCCTGTATTTTAGGAACCAATGAAGCAGCTATCATTGAAATCTTATCGGGCAGGACATCAGAGGAGAGGCAACAAATCAAGCAAAAGTACAAGGCAACATACGGCAAGGTGATTCCAGGGGTGGTGAGCAGGCGCGCACCCGGCCGTGGCCTGGGTGGTCTCAGCTTCCCCACGTCTCCACAGCTGCACAGAGTACCTTTATAGCTTTATCGAGTCAGCCCAGGAAGAAAACTGCAATAACCACTTAACAGCGTTAATGAAGTTCAGAAAAACTGAAATTGCTCTGTTAACTTAATAGTCTGTAAAATCAACACTCTTAAATTCATTATTTCTTAAATTGACTTCATTTTTCTATTAAGACCCTAGTCTTTTTTTCGCTTAATTTGGACTAATTGTATATATGTAGATAGATCAGTAATTTGAAAATCAGTTTCCACAAGTGGGTCTTTATACAGGAATTTTTCACACGCAATTGTTACAGAAAACTGAAAAAAAAAAAAAAAAAAACCCTCCATTTCATTAAGCTAACGACACCTTTTTTTCCTTACATTTTCTCCTTTTCTTTCATTCTTGTTATTGCTGAAAATAATGTTATATAGAGAAGTCTTCAGTTATGCATTAGGCTTTCTTATTTCTTTATTAATATATAATGGACACAACTTTTTCTCAAGTCATTAGAATTATTATTATGCAAAATGAATATCAATTATTATGCTGTATTCTCATTTATATTTATCAAACCTTGACCATTTCAATCACTATATATATATAAATAGATATCTAGAAAGATAGAGATGGGTTTTCCTATTTATTTGATATTGAGCAGGTAACAATTGCTTCAGGCCTTGGTCTTTTCAAGGATAGAATGAAGATGATAACTTAGCTCCCTTCTCAGGTTGCTGGGAGAATCAGTCAAGGTAATGCCAGCATGTACCAATACTGAAAAGCTATGATAGCTATGATTGTTCCCATTTTACAGACAGGAAAAGGAAAGCTTATATGTATAAATGCCTTATGGAAAATCACACACCTAACAACAACAAAAAAAGAACCAGGACTCACATCCAAGTCTCACACCCAAGTCTTCTGACTTCAAGTGTCCATTCCTGAAGGACCCAAATACCCATAAGTAGAGCTATTTACACACACACTAAATGGCCCCAATGGTTGTGCTTTTGTGCTTTTTCTCCTCCTCTCCTTACTATTAGGCTGGTCAACATAATTTTTGATGAAAGTAAGCGTATCTTCAATTCAATTACATTTAATTAAATGGATGAAGCTGATTTTTTTTTTTCAGACAGAGCCGCGCTCTTTTGCCCAGGCTGGAGTGCAGTGGCAAGATTTTGGCTCACTGCAACCTCTGCCTCCTGAGTTCAAGTGATTCTCCTGCCTCAGCCTCCTGAGTAGCTGGCATTACAGGCACATGCCACCATGCCTGGCTAATTTTTGTATTTTTAGTAGAGACAGGGTTTCACCATTGTCGTCAGGCTGGTCTTGAACTCCTGACCTCATGATCTGCCCACCTCGGCCTTCCAAAGTGCTGGGATTACAGGTGTGAGCCACTGCACCTGGCCTGAAGCTGAACTTTTATCCCTGTCAACATCCCTAACTCCAGTAGCCTCCCAAGACACATTCACCTTACCAATATGAAAAGTCAGGCCAGGCAGGGTGGCTCACATCTGTAATCCCAACACTTGGCCCGAGGCAGGAGGATTGCTTGAGCCCAGGAGTTTGAGACCAGTTGAGACCCTCATCTCTACCAAAAATTAAAAATTAGCTGGGTGTAGTGGTGTGTGCCTGTAGTCCCTGCTACTCAGGAGGCTGAGGCCAGAGGATTAAGACCAAGAAGTCGAGGTGGCAATAAGCTGTGATTGCACCACTGCACCCAGTCTGGTGGCAGAGTGAGACCCTGTGGAAAGGAAGGAAAGAAAAGAAAAGAAAAAGAGAGAACGGGAGGAAGGGAGGGAGGAAAAGAAGGGAAGGAAGGAAAGGAAATGAAAGAAAGTAAGATAGAAGGAAGGAGGGGAGGGAGGTAGGGAAGGAAAGAAGAAAGAAAGAAAGAGAGAAAGAAGGAAAGAAAGAGGGAGGGAGGGAGGAAGGAAAGAAAGGAAAGAAAAAAGGAAGGAAAGAAGAAAAAGAAAGAAAGAAGAAACAAAGAAGGAAGGAAGGAGAAATAAAAAGAAAGAAAGAAAGAAAGAGAAAAAGAAGGAAAGAAACAGAAAGTCAGATATAATGCTTCTAAATCTTTAGTCTAAAGAAGAGTGAATGGGTTCCAAGTGAAAGCCTAGGGGTCCTGTTAAAACTTAAATGGGGCCGGCGTGGTGGCTCACGCCTGTAATCCTGGCACTTTGGGAGGCCAGGGTGGGCAGATCACTTGAGGTCAGAAGTTCGAGACCAGCCTAACCAACATGGAAAAACCCCGTCTCTACTAAAAATACAACATTAGCCAGGCGTGGTGGCAGGCATCTGTAATCCCAGCTACTCAGGAGGCTGAGGTAGGAGCACCGCTTGAACCCAGGAGGTGGAGGTTGTGATGAGCCAAGATCATACCACTGCACTCCAGCCTGGGCAACAAGAGGGAAACCCCATCTCAAAAAATAATAATAATAAAATTTAAATGGGCATGTTCTAGCACAAAATTTGTGATACGTCATTTGCCAATCGTTTGCTTACTTTCTAGTTCTCAGCTGTGTTTCAGAGAGCTGAGACTGCCAAAGAGATGATTTAGAATCCCAACATTGCAAAGCTAGAAAATGATATGATCCAATCTAAACCCCGTGTCAGTTGACCTCCAAAGAGAATAACCATCCCATGGTAACACAGAGTTAGCAGGAAAACCAGGACTAGAGCTGAGCTCTCCTGAGCCTTCTTCTCTGTCCAGACAGAATGTAAGCACACAGCGTGTGTTTTTATGCCTGTGGCTTGTAAGAGTGGGAAGCTGGGATTTCTCTTCTCTGCAGCTGTATAGAATGCCCACCTGGCTTGAAAATATATTTCCAGTTTTTAGATGGCTCCACATCATAGACAACTGACCTCAGACCTGCCTTCACAAGACGGGATGTTGGCTGGAGCGGCCACTCTGGGATGGAGGCATTGCATTACACCCTCCTTTAGGACTCCAGATCCCAGGGCTTTGGACAAAAATATTCCAGGTTTTTCTCCCAGGCCAAGAGCTCAGAGCTTCATTTGAGAAACAGTTGATTTGCCTCCTCTTAGAAAACCTTTTTTTCAGCATGGGAGATTAATAACAATAAGCATTTGTTGGCCATTTAGAATGTGTCAGGCACTATGCTCCGTATTTACAAGGATCGTCACATTTACTTCTCCCAACAGCCCTGCGAGGTCAGTCTTGCACTGTCTCCATTTTTCAGAGCTGAAAACTGGCAGTTGGTGGAATTCAGTACATTTCCAAGGTCACAAAGCTACTGTGGCTGTGTTCTCTGCCACCATGCCACACTGCTGGGGAGCTGCCCACCCTATGCTATAGCTTGTGTCCTTGAAATGCCAGCTGGTCTGTGGGCCTCCAATCTGAGCCACCCTGGGCTATCGCTCTACATGAAGGCTTTTGGTTTAAGTTGGGGCATTAACCACTCTAGGTAGGCTGATGCCCATTCTTGACCATTTCCTCTGATTTTGTTTTTGTTTTTTCCAAGACGGAGTCTTGCTCTGTCACTAGACTGAAGTGCAGCGGCATGATCTCAGCTCACTGCAACCTCCGCCTCCCAGGTTCAAATGATTCTCCTGCCTCAGCCTTCTAAGTAGCTGGGACTACAGGCATGCACCACCACGCCCAGCTAATTTTTGTATTTTTAGTAGATACAGGGTTTCACCATATTGGCCAGGATGGTCTCTATCTCTTGACTTCATGATTGCCCCGCCTCAGCCTCCCAAAGTGCTGGGATTACAGGCATGAGCCACCATGCCCAGCCCATTTCCCCTATTAAACCACATTGTCAGAGGGAGATAGGGAGAAGGGATTTAGCTCACTTGTCAGAATAGATGCCAGGCTGGGGGTCAAGATGGCTCACACCTATAATCCCAGCACTTTGGGAGGCTGAGGTGAGAGAATCGCTTGAGCCTAGGAGTTTGAGATTAGCCTGGGCAATATGGCAAAAACCCACCTCTACACAAAAAAAATTTTTTAAATTAGCTGAGCATGGTAGTGTGCACCTGTAGTCTCAGCTACTTGAGAGGCTGAGATGGGAGGATTATCTGAGCCCAGGAGGCAGAGGCTGCAGTGAGCCATGATTGCACCATGCACTCCAGCCTGGGTGACACAGTGAGACCCTGTCTCAAAAAAAGAATAAGCAGCTGCCAGTAAGAATTCCATGCACTTCCCCTTCTACATGCCTGCATTCTTCCTCACTTGTGCCTCTTCCAGGATTTAGCGAGATAACTGGAGTGACGGTACAGGCTGTCAGGTTTTCCACAGCAATCCTCTTTATTCCTGTTGTCCTCTGCAATTACTCATAGTGCCCCTTTCACAGTGAAAGGCATCCCAATTTGGATGGCAAATTCTCTGGTCCTCCTAGAGATAACAGCCCTGTATTTCGGTCCTTCCTAGCTGAATATTTGGGGAAAATTCTTCAACTTCTGAGGTTCAACAGATCTTGAGGGCTTTTCAGCACTCTTGAGGATTGGCTGAAAAAGCTCTCTGAGCTCTCAAGTGTTCCACAGATACTGTTGTTATTGTGATTCATCTGTGAGGTCTCCTGAGCAGGGAGCTCCTCTCCATCTCTCTGCCAGCCCCAGGGGGAAGGTGGACGGGCAGCTGAGAGCAGATGATGTGTGCCAGATCACTGCCTACATGTCCACAGCATCTTGCTTGTCAACCAGAAGCACTTGCAATAGTGCAAGCAGACACCTGCCCCTCTCCTCCTGGGCCGTTCCCAGCAGGTCTCTCACTGTCTTCCTGCAGGACCTGGAGGAGGTACTCAAGAGTGAGCTGAGTGGAAACTTCGAGAAGACAGCCTTGGCCCTTCTGGACCGCCCCAGCGAGTATGCCGCCCGGCAGCTGCAGAAGGCTATGAAAGGTCTGGGCACAGATGAGTCTGTGCTCATTGAGGTCCTGTGCACGAGGGCCAATAAGGTCAGTCCCAGCTGAGCCCGCAAGGGAACATCACACACCCAGTAGAGATGGATGCAGCCCCCAGAAGGGACCCTACTTCCCAGCGTTTTATCCAAGGAGTGAGCAGGTGTCTGGGCAGAAATGTGTGTGCTTGGTCCATGTGGGAGGACATCTCTTCCAGTCCTCCAGAGGTCAGTCTTGGGGTGGCTGCCCCTTGACAGAATAGATCTTTCCAGAAGAGCTGTGTCCAGTGAGCTTCTGCTTTTCTAAACTGATGCTTTTATATGCAGGAGGCACAATTCTACTTTCCCCAACCCAGCCGGACTTTGTGGCTCTTCCGGCATGAAAAATCAACAAGCAGCCCAAGCATGCCTATGCCGCTGCCTGGGCCACGGCTGTCACCTGGCACCTAGCGTAGGGTACAAAAGAGACTATGATGAGGAAGACAGGTGAGTGGTGCTGGGGGACGCCAGTAACACGCCAGTGGCTGCCAGTACTACCCTGAAGGGTTGCGTCCTTCTGTCGTCAGACAAAGGCATGTCCCTCGAGCACATGCCTCCCTTTCAGGGGCTGAAAAGAGCATCTGTGGAGGCCCCAGTGGAGGCCTATTTGTCTCCAGAAGCCAGGAGAACCAAGGGATTCATCAAGGGTCAAGAAGGTCCACGAATTATTCATAGGAGAGACCCCTCTTTCTTCAGTTCCCACACGTGACAGTGGAATGGGGCAGCCCAGCAAGGAAAATGCCAGAAGAGCCCAACATTCTTGAGGCCTCTCAGCAGGAAGTAGAAGTAGAGGTTGGAGCAGACAGAAGGCTAAATGGAAACAGCACCCTGACGCAAAAATAGCTAGAGAAGGCCTGGACACTGGGCCCCGCTCACGCTGCTCAGCTGCTTTTGCCAAAGGGCCGCTGGGGTCCAGGCTATAGCTGCAAACCTTTTCCAGAGCATTCCTGGACTTTTTTTCTCCCCACAAGATAATAAAAAATCCTCCATTTCAAGGAGTCTCAGGTTGGGATGGTGCTTTGGAGGAGGGTTAACACAGGACCCCCGGGCCGTGAGTCGAGGTCAAGTGGCACCAGCTTCCCCCACTCAGCATCCACCCTCCCCAGAAGCACTGAGGTCCCAGCAGGGAGGCAGCCATTGCCAGGGTGGTCAGCACCCGCCTTTGTGTAAAGGTTAATTTCAATAATATTTTTCAGGCCAGGTGCAGTGGCTCACATCTGTAATCTCAACACTTTGGGAGGCCAAGGCAGGCAGATCACTTGAGGTCAGGCAGAGTTTGGGACCAGCCTGGCCAACATGATGAAACCCCGTCTCTACTAAAAATACAAAAATTAGCCAGGTGCGGTGGCATGCACCTGAAATCCCAGCTACTTGGGAGGCTGAGGCAGGAGAATCACTTGAACCCGGGAGGCAGAGGTTGCAGTGAGCCAAGGTCACACCACTACACTCCAGCCTGGGCAACAGAGAGAGACTCCAACTCAAAAAATATATCCATGCATATTTTTCTTATTTGACCATAGCTTTTTCTCCCTCATCCAAGTTCTTTAAGGTCCTGACTTCAACCAATCAGTAAGGCCTCTCTTTCAATCAAATAGATCTGATGGGATGAAAAGAAAAACCCGCAGAGAGCAGGTGCCAGGGTCAGGAAGATCCTGGTCGTGGGTTGGAAAAAGAAAGGGGAGGGAGCTGCACAGGCACAAGTGATCGGCCTCTCGGGGACCTGACCTGCCCCTCCCTCCACCCAGGAGCACAGCAACAAGGCTTCATCCCCCACCCCTTTCATTTTAACCAGCTTGGGGGTACAGGGGGTTGGGGGGCAGCAGGAAGCCTGCTCTTACATGCTGCTGATTCAAGTGCAAACTGAGGCAGCTTCTGAGATGCACCCCTTGGCACCAGAAATTGAAATATAAAGCAGTTCCTCTCAGAACATGCCCTCAAGAGAAACCAGCACTCCTGCCCATAGCCATTTGGTGACTGAATGAAGCCTTGTTTGAAGGAGAGAAAACTTGGAAACGACCTAAGCCTCCATCCATAGAAGGTTGGCTAAGCAAACCATAGCTTATTGTAGTATGGAACATTTTGTGCCCCTTTAAAAACCTCTAGGTGACTATCCATGTCCAAGCACAGCTAGATCTCCAGGATGTTATTATTGAGAGAAAAAATAAGTCAAAGAATGATAGGTACAGTATTCCACCTGCTAAACACTCGACACCTATACAATTCTGTTTTCAATAGCACATATATATGTATACAAATGCAAAAAAAAATGTGTATCTTTCTGATACATACCAAACTTCTAACATGTGTTACCTGGATGGGGATGAGAGAGGGAGACCAGGTGAGGAGGTGGTGAAAGAAGGCGTTAGTTAGCCTAGCTGTAAACGTTTCACTTTTAACAAAGGAGAACGTACGCATATGTTACTTGCGTGTTTGAGATATTTGCAGAGAGAGAGGGGCCCTTCACATCCCCAGGGACTCACTCCAGGCCTGCATCCTGGACCCATAGGAATGATCGCCTTAAGAGGAAGTCACGAAGGCACCCTGTGTCCAGACAGTCTCCCGCCTCTTCTCTCTGTATGTCTTGGTGTCTCTTATTGATTAATCCCTCCTCGGAGTATTGATTTTTTTTAAATTACCTTCCCTAGGAAATCATCGCCATAAAAGAGGCCTACCAAAGGCGTAAGTAACCTTTCATCCTGGCTTTGGATAAAGTATGTTTCTTTCAAAATACCTCTGGGAAACTAAATCGTCTGCTTTCTTCCCTCCTTTTTTACTTCCTTCAAAGTATTTGACAGGAGCCTCGAATCAGATGTCAAAGGTGATACAAGTGGAAACCTAAAACAAATCCTGGTGTCCCTGCTACAGGTAAGAGTAAAGAGATATTACTTGTTTTATCATCTTAGGAAAGAATCCTTGGCAACGTGGCACCATGATGAAAAGGGTAACAGAGATAAACATTTCTCTCTTTTATTAAAAATGTTATCTAAGGATCGTCAACCCATCCTCCATTGGCCCAGCTCTGGTGAAATTATATCCAATTGGGATTTCTTCCTTAAAAACAATCTGCCTAATCATTTGCAGTTTACAATTCCTTTTTGTAAACAAATCAGCTCATTAAGCATCACTTTCTCATTTTGCCTAGGAGGAAATTTTGGCCATGAGAGGGTGGGTAACCTGCCCTGGTTCATGCAGCCAGTAAGACACAACCCAAAGCAAGAACCAGACCATCTGACCCCAAGCGGGGCCGCTCCCACAACACAACTCTGCAGTTGCTCCCAGGATTCACTACTGCTCCCAGTAAGAACTACTGCAGGAAACTCAGCCAGGAAATCGGGGCTTTTAGAATCGGCCCTGCTGGGACACACACCCCCCACCAGGACCTCCAGATAGACACATCTGTATTCTCATGGACACACACATCTTTAGGAGCTCTGTGTGTTTTCTCTGTTTTGTTTCTCCCAGTGGGATAGATGGACAGCAGAGAACAGAAGAGAGAGACTTCCACGGTAGCAGGAAAGGTGCCTAAGTTTTCTCTTGCTGCATAACCAGCTGCCACAAACTTAGCACCTCAAAACGACATAGATCTATCATCTCACAGTTTCCATGAGTCAGGAGTCAAAGTGATATCTTGGAGATCCCTGAGTAATATCTTGGTTTAGCTGAGTCCTTTGGTCAGGGTCTCAACAGGCTGAAATCAAGGTGTTGGCCAGGGCTGCCATTTCATCTGAGGCTTGGAGTCTTCCTCCAGCCTCACTAGTTGTGAGCAGAATTCATTTTCTTATGGCTGTGTTCCTGATGTCCCCATTTTCTTCCTGTTGACCAGAAGCTACTATCATGTCCTAGAGACTACTGGCAGCTTCCTGCCACATAGTCCCCCAAGGCAGAGCACCACATGGCTGTCTGGTTTCATCCAGCTCGTTTCTGACTTCTTCCATCTCTGACCTTTTAAGAAAAGCTCACTCGATTGGGTCAGGCCAACCAAGGATAATCTCCCTTTTGATAAACTCGACTGATTGGAGACCTGAATTATATCTGCAAAATTCCCCTTTGCCATTGAACATAACACAATCACAGCAGTGACATCTCCTCACCTTCATAGCTCTCACCCACACTCACGGGAAGGGGATTATGCAAGAATGTGGGCCATTGGGTCATCTTAGAATTCTGCCCACCACAGAGGGCTCAAGTTAGACTTCCACGACCAACTCTCAGGGTTCTTTAGCACTGGGACCATGAGTGGAGAAATCTGATGTTTTGAAACGAAGATGACTTACTTTCCGATGGACTCACTCTAGGGAACTTAGAGATCGCATCCAGTCTGCTCAGAGGTCAGTGGGGTTTGTGGGTGACTCTGGTTTCTCCAAAATAAAAGGCAAAAAAACAAGTGTTGCCACAGAAGCTACTCTTGTTTATCCGTTGAGCCCAAAAGATGGCAGCAAAGAGCAGGTGTCGCCTCCTTGCCAGGCTGAACTGAGCTGAGCTGAGCTGAGAAAGAACTCACCTCTTTCTCCAGGACTTTGTCTTTCTGTTTTCTGTGGTCAAGCAGGAATGCAAGTTAATAACAATGTGTCAATTTTTCTAGGCTAATCGCGATGAAGGAGATGACGTGGACAAAGATCTAGCTGGCCAGGACGCCAAAGATCTGTACGATGTATGTGCGCAGACATGCCAGTCTCTGAAAATTCTTTTTTTAAATTTATTAGCATTATTTTTAACAAATGTTTATTTCATTCAAAGAGTAGTTACTTGGGAAATAAGTATGACCTTTAAGAAACAAAGATATGCTTAGATCTTTATAGAACACATATAGAGTCTCCATGAATCTAAATGAATGGTTTCTATTCTTATACTCTGGGGTTGACCACATCAGATCCGTTTTGGAGCAAAGAATGGTATAAACAATATAAATAAGTATGCGAAATATATTTGTGGGTTAGAAGCTGAAAGTGCTTAGTCCATTTGACTTCTATTCAGTGCATGGTTTATAATTTCCTGTAAGTGAGGCCTGGTCACAGCACTGTATAATCAGTCTTTTCACAAAAGCCCTTTTCAAAATGTTTGTAATTTGACCCTTGAGGCAGGGGAAGGCCGCTGGGGCACGGATGAGCTTGCTTTCAATGAAGTCCTGGCCAAGAGGAGCTACAAGCAGTTACGAGCCACCTTTCAAGCCTACCAGATTGTAAGTAATAAAGTATTGGGGCCGAAGAGTTCACTCTGAAAGTGCCTTAAGTTATTAACCAAAGAAGCCAAGATCTGCAATAAAGAATTGGGGATCCTTTGCAACAGTGGTTCTCAATTGGGGGCGATTTTCCTGTGCCGGGAATATTTGATAATGTCTCAAATGATTTGAAGTTGTCACAGCTGGGGTGGTGGCCCCGGCATCTAGTGAACAGAGGCCTGGGATGCTGCTGAACAGCCTACAGTGCACAGGACAAAGAATCCCCAAAGAATTGTCTAGACCCAGATGCAGTACCCAGGCTGGACACTGGCTTCACAACAGAGGCCAGGGAAGCAAGTGTCCCATCCAGAGGCAAAGCTTTAGAGTCCAAGAGCCCAGGTGCAAATTCTGGGTCTACCACTGGCAAGTGACCAAATCTCTCCATCCTCTTTTGTAAAACAGGGACCACGAACATCATCTTCACACCCTCAGAGTGATTTTAAGGTTAAATGAGATGAAGACTCAGAACAAGCCAGGAGTGGTGGCTCATGCCTGTAATCCCAGCATTTTGGGAGGCCAAGGAGGGGGGATCACGAGGTCAGGAGTTCAGGACCAGCCTGGCCAAGCTGGTGAAACCCCGTTTCTACTAAAAATACAAAAATTAACCAGCTGTGGTGGCAGGCACCTGTAATCCCAGCTACCCGGGAAGCTGAGGCAGATAATTGTTTGAACCCGGGAGGTGGAGGTTGCAGTGAGCTGAGATGGTACCACTGCACTCCAGCTTGGGCAACAGAGCAAGACTCCATCTTTAAAAAAAAAAAGACTCAGAACAGTAGTTGGCATGTGGCAAGCATACAAATATTTGCTATTACTACTCCAGTTTACAGTTGGCTAACGGTGCCTACCTTCGTCAAGACAGATATGATGTATCTCAAAGACAGGCTCCTAAAAAGATGCATATAAATTATTTTTTAATCCCAGGATAAATTTCAGCCCACAAGGTGAGTTAGTTATTTCAAGGTGCTTAGCACAAAGTCCTTCCCTGAAAAGCAGTCTTTAATTGCAGAAAGCCTGGAGTGGAATATCAGATTTTTTTTTTTTGGCATCCTATTTTATATGTGTAGTGCTTTTACCTATTCAAAGCACTTCTGTGTCATGTGTCTCATTCAATTTCACAACAACACCATAACTACAACGTAGGCTGAACAGCTATTGTGACCCACAACTGCTGGGCAAGGAAAGTCTGTTGAGTAAGGAACCATCTGTAACTTATCAGGACCACACAGCAAGTCGGTAGCAGAGAGTGGATGAGAACTCCAAGAATCCCCGGCCTGAGCTCCTACCTCAGCTGAAGCTGGCTGCTCCTCACTCCAAGTTGCATTTCCTATGTGTTGCCAGCAGATAAAAAGACAGTAAAGCTCTAAAATTTTATCATGACTATATATAAGCCTTTAGGGTCCACTGCTTTCAAATCGTGCCCAGAGTCATGATCAAAGACAGCTGACCTGCACTCCCCTGGTCTCTTGTTCCTGGAGCTGTGTAGCCTCTGAGCTGGAGGACTTCTCTATGACTGAGATCCTCTTTCCACACTGTGGAGACCACAGGTGAAGTTTCTGGGTACATGCATGTGTGTGTGTATGAACTGACCACCTGAAAGTACACTTTCCAGGCTAATATCTCCAAGTTGATCCTGAAACAGCAGCATCAGCATCACTTGAAAATTTGTTATGAGAATTCTCAGTCCCCATCAGACCTGTTGAATCAGATTCCATGGGGCGGGTCTTACCATCTGTGTTAGAGCAGATGCTCCAGGTGATTCTAATGTATATTACAATTTAAGAAGTCCGCTTTAGGCTATATCTGTATGGGTCTTACGCAAGTTATTAAAGGTTCTGTGCCTCAGTTACTCAAACTGTAAAATAGGGATAATAGTACCTACTTCATAGGGTTAATAAGGATTAAATGAATTAACAGAAATAAGCACTTAGTACCTGGCAGGCAACAAGCATTCAATAAACATTAGCAATTGTCAGGAGTCTCCCTGGATGAACAAACAATGCCATAAATCAGAGCAAAAGCTTAAATGTACAATAAGGTAATCTGTGGATTTCATGATTCATTACATGAAACCAGCTCTAAAATGCTATCTATTCATCCATTTCAAAAGCCTTGCTCCAGCATCATTCATCTTGGTATTTATTGCTGATGTTTTTAGAGTTCAGTCTGCTCTTAGACCCTGGTTCTATGAGTTTTCTGATGGCTTCTGACCAAAAGCACAGAGATGCTAGTCTGAGATCAGCAACTGGAATTTCTTATGTGGCCTGAGTGGTCCTGGCTTAGGGTTGAATTTTTAATTTTTGGCAGAAAAACTCAGAGTTTTGCCATTTATTTTGCTCTAAGCCTGAGTCTTAACTTCTGACACTCCCAGCAATCCCAGGCCAAACAACAGAGTTTCCCAAACTGCTGCATCATGCAAGATTATTACAGTCCCCAGTGTTACCAAATATGAAAGACTCATACAGTTATAAAGCCAAAGTCAAGTCCCCGAACAGGGCTCAGTATAAACGGTAGGTACGCACACTCGTAGCCCACTTTGCTGCCTCCTCATCACGTGCCTCGCCCCTTGCTCCTCCCCTGTACATGTTCCTCAGCCCATGCCAGAGGCTTCAGCCTCTAACTGCTATAGTCAAAGCCAGAGTGCGTAGGATTCTGTGGTCAGCGTGCCATCCATTTGGGGCAACCAATTTTAAGAGAAAGAAATGTCTCTCCTGCTCTTCTAATAACCCCCCAACAGGCATTGCTACCTGTCTAAATAGAGTCTTAGAGACTTGTTTGGAATCTAACCTCATAATGTGTTTTTCTACTGAGATCAGAAAACCTGCTCCTATACAAAGAGTCCCTAAGAATCATGTTCTAGAAACTAAAGTAAGAAGTATGCAAAGTACAGTCCCAAGAGCTTGGGCCAGACCATTGTTTCAGATTGTATCCCGTGGAGGTGCCTCAGCAGCTACCAGGAGTGGGGTGGTGCAGGAAGCAGACAGACAAGTACCTTCTTGTTGTAGTATATGAATAGCGCCTCCTAGAGTTGTGCAAGGAAAAAATCTGTGAGGGCAAAAACATGATATTGATGCCAAAGGCTAGGGAAACGAGCCCACCTCCCGCCTCTCACCACAGCTCTGCTTTCTGTTTTCATTTGTTTTGTAGGCTGAGATTCTACAGAAAATTTAAAATCCCTGTTCTAGCCTGGTATTAACAATAGAAATGGAAAATGGTTTAATGTGAGGATTTTTTAAAGTAAACAAGACCTGTATGAACAAAATGTTCTCTTGCAGTATGATCTCAGTCTACAGAACAAGAACCTTGTTTCTGGGAAAGGGATACCCGTCCCTTCCAAAATAACGACTCCCACATTAAACCCAAGAAAGACTGGGGGCAGCTAAGGAAGGGACAGTTCCCCCACTCTTCTAATCAGGTTTCTATTGCCACACACCAAGGCCTCCAGACATGCAAACAATGACTAGGAGATCGACCAACAGGGCTTCATTAAATCTGGATACAGGTCCTCCCCCACACATATTGTGCTTACATCACAAAGAACATTTTGTTTACCTGTGTTTTCAAAATAAACCACATAAACTCCACTGGTGCATACTCAAAGACCCCAATTATTTATAGAATCAATTGTGTCATATGCTCAAAGCATATTTTCTAAGAAATAAGTTTCAGTATTTCTGGTGCTTAATTGCATTTCCCCAAACCCAGAAAAGCATTCTCCTTTCTCTTTATGTGCCTGCCCTGAGCTTGGCCCAGGCAGTATTTGTATTAAGGATAGTCACAATTTACTCTGAGCTTCAGCTTCTGTAAATATTTAGAAAGAAACCTAATGTGTAATGCTGTGTTGAACGATATGTGAGCCAGTGGTGAATATAGCATCATTTGGAATTACCCCAGAGTGAAGACAAGTGGCATTTTGATGTGGTCAGCAACCACTCCCACCCCGGCTTCCAGCCCTTGCAGACCCACCCTATCAGGAACTTTAGATCAAGTTGTTATCATGAACTTCATCCTCCCTACTTATTTCACCCAAACTGGGGCTAAGTCCCTGGTTTCCAAGGCAAGGGAGAGGATGGAGGTGCAGGTCACATGATCATAACCACAGCCTCCAGGGAAACTGAAACTGGAAAGAGTGAAGAAGACATTGGAACTAAACTACACATCAGTGTAAAAAATGTCTATGATTATAGTATATTAATTGTTTCTCCACTCTCCCATTTTACAGATGAGGAAATTGAGGTTGAGGGAGTGGCACTGACTAGAGTCAAGTCCATTAGGAATCATATCTAGACTGACTCCTCAGCAATGAGAGCCCCCTCTCAAATGAGTGGCAAACACCCCAATCCTGCAAGGCAAGAGTCGGGATAGGAGCTCCCTGAAGCCACAGGACTAACTCTGGAAACAGTTAGTGCTTTTTATAGAGGAATGACCCCAAGAGTGCCAAAGTCAAAGGCAAACCTGGAATAATGGCTGATTTTGGTTTTCTCTGCAGCTCATTGGCAAAGACATAGAAGAAGCCATTGAAGAAGAAGCATCAGGAGATTTGCAGAAGGCCTATTTGACTCTTGGTAAAGTAAAGTTAGGAGAGTTCTTGTCTGAGGTTGGGCTGCCTGGAACCAGATGCAGACAGAGGTTTGTGTGTAGGAAGATTTGAGGGAATAGCATTTGGGTGTCAACACATCTAAGCAGCACTGAGCAAGAGGGAGAGTGACTGTGATGTAGTTGCAACAGGGGCTTTGCTGGTCCCACAGGAAGCCCTGAAGCTGGGATGTCCAAAGTGGAGCAAGGGGCCCAGGCTTTTGCATCCCACATTGACCAGTCATGGGACACTGGCTGTACCAGGGGAACATGTGCAACTTTGGGCAAGCCAGCTTCTCCCTTGGAGGGAGATTCCTGGGGAGGGATTCCGCTGTGAATGACTGCCTCATCCTGAATAGGGCATCTGAGTGGCACACCACAGCATCCATTGCAGTCCCGCTGTATTAGTCCGTTTTCATGCTGCTGATAAAGACATACCCAAGATGGGGTAATTTATAAAGAAAAAGAGGTTTAATGGACTCACAGTTCCATGTGACTGGGGAGACCTCACAATCGTGACAAAAGACAGAAGGCACGTCTTACATGGTGGCAGACAAGGCAGAATAAGACCCAAGCAAAAGGGGAAACCCCTTATAAAATAATCAGATCCTGTGAGACTTATTCACTACCACAAGAATAGCATGAGGGGAGACCACCCCCATGATTGAATTATCTCCCACTGGGTCCCTCCCACAACATGTGAGAATTGTGGGAGCTATAATTTAAGATGAGATTTGGGTGGGGATGCAGCCACACCATACCACCCACTAAGACCATGGGTCCCTGAGGGCACCTGTCAACAACCTGGGACCATTATCCAGTTTCAGGCAGCCTGATGGCTCATAGATTTCCTTTTCCATTGGGTTCCTTTCAGTGTTTTCAAAGAATGAATTCTGTTTGGAAAGAGATGGGATGGAGATCAGATCTTGATTGTGCCAACCAAACCCCAGGACCTCCTCTCCAGGTGTTGCCCAAAGGCAGGAAATAGCAGAGAGATGGGCATGGCACTATGTCTGGCAGCCTCCTTTTTTTCTTTCTGCAAGCCCTGGAATGAAGGCATTGTCCATTGTCCGTGCTCCTGTGGTGAGGAATCCAGGGCACCATCCCAAATGGCAGAAGCAATGGAGAGACCTGTCCTCAAAAGAGGAAGGACCGAATAACCAGCCCTGGAAGTTAAAAAATGTGCTCCAGTTGCCAAATTCTTTTGTTTGGTTTCTTTGGGGGGTTTTTCGAACAATGTCAGCAATTGATTTTTTTTAATCCATCCTCATTTTGCATTCAATAAGCAAGACCTCTGCTGTGATATCCCGAGGCCTAAAAATCCCTGGTGTTGCTCATGACCCACACTGGGTATATATAGGAGCCCTGGTTCAAGCAACTGTACTTAGGGCCTTAACCCATTTATGCCAATTTTTTAAACTGCAGACATGTGTGAAAAATTAGACCTTGGCGATGACCTTGAGCAGTAGGATATAAGTAACCCCCACATGCTTATCATTCCAATAATGGAACACTAGGCATAATTAAGAAGCGTCTCAGGTAGATAATAGGATCTACTCATGGCCTGGTTCTGAGGCTCTACGTCCTTGCTATGCTGTACTTGCAGTGCAGAGAATCATGAAAACACCAGAGTACAGTCAGGAGATGGTATTACAACCACTCAATGATTTAACATTTACCCAACACCTGCCTGGGCCCAGAGTTTGCGCTGGGTGTGGGGATAAGAGGTAAATAAGATCAGTTCTTGCTCTTCAAGGAGCTTAAAGCTTATGGTGAATTGTAAGCTGGTGGGTACAAAAAAATCAACAGATTAGGCTAAAGTTAAAGATAAAAAACGAAGGGCAAAGTGGGTACGGATGAAGGAAAAGCCAAGTCCCTGGGTTTGGGGACCACACACTCTCAGAGTGGGCAGTACTCCAGCGCTAGTGAAAGCCAAAGTAATTAGAAAAGACCTTGAGAATAAGCCACACAACAGAATATGGCTTCATGACTACTCTAGACACTTCCCATCCCTCTCCCAGCTAACTTATAGCTATGCCAGTTTATGACTAACATCTAGGAGCAGGGGGCTGAGGCCAAATGACTCCCACCACATGCAGTGTCTGGAGCAGCATTTCTCAAAGTGAAGTCCAGGGACCCCCTGCCTCAGAATCACCTGTTACAATGCAGGTTCCTGGGCCCCACTCCAGGTTCCCTTTGAGAACCTCCAGGAAGGGAGCCCAGGAAGACACACTATTTTTTTTTTTTTTAAGAGAGAGTCTTGCTCTGACACCAGGCTGGAGTGCAGTGGCATGATCTCGGCTCAACATAACCTCCACCTCCCGGGTTCAAGCCATTCTCCTGCCTCAGCCTCCCAAGTAGCTAGGACTATAGGCATGCACCACCATGCCCAGCTAACTTTTTGTATTTTTAGAACAGACGGGATTTCACTGTGTTTGCCAGGATGGTCCCAATCTCCCAACCTCGTGATCCACCCACCTGCACCTCCCAAAGTGCTGGGGTTACAGGTGTAAGCCACCATGCCCAACCAAAGCCACACTCTACCAGCTGTCCAAATGACTGTGTTATATACTCACAGCAAGTTCAGGAACTTGCTCTGAAGGCAAAGGGGAGCAAGACACGGAGCACAGGGCTGGCTGCCCTTCCTGCCACTCACTGTGAAGACGGTTTTTTTTTGCTTTTGTTTCTGTTTTTCAAGTCACAGTTTCACTCTGTCACCCAGGCTGGAGTGCAGTGGTGCAATCTTGGCTTACTGCAACCTCTGCCTCCCGGGTTCAAGTAATTCTCGTGCCTCAGCCTCCCGAGTAGCTGGGATTACCATGCCTGGCTAATTTTTGTGTTATTAGAGACATGGTTTCACCATGTTGGCCAGGCTGGTCTTGAACTCCTGACCTCAAGTGATCCACCTGCCTTGGCCTCCCAAAGTGCTGGGATTACAGGTGTGAGCCACCATGCCCGGAAGGTGTTTTATTCCACGTCTTCTCTAGCTATCCCTGCCCAGCCTTTTGAGGGATTCCTGCTGCTGCTAACAACAGAGGTTGTTCCCATGCATAGATTCCAGAGAGGAGAAATGTTGAGAGTTTTCTTCCCAAGATATCAGGTAGAAAAAATTGTTAAAGAAGAAGAACCCTATACAGGAGCAGAACACAGTGACTTTAGGCAGACAGTGATCCCCACATTAAGTTGTGCTACACGGAAGAGAATTTTCGGGAAAACTTTGTGGTGCTCACTAGCTCAGATTGTCTGCGGACCACAGTAAGTCTCAATATGCCACTCCCCAAAGTGGCATACAAGTTCCCTTGAACCACCAATCCGGCAGCTTTTGGGTTGTCTCAGGAGAAAGAGGCCAGACATCTTTTCTTTTCCAGTGCGATTTTCTTTTCCATTGTAACTGTGGCAGCTGCCACATGGCCTGGAGCAGGAGACTGGCCCCCAACCTAGACTCTGCTTCCCTCACCTGTCCTCTCCCCTGCTCATAGCATCAATCACACAGGCGGTCCCCTAGACGACAGCAGCTCCATTATGGGACATAGTCAGGTTGCACATTCCACATTTATGCTGAAATAATCACCTACTGTTAATCACTTACATCATCGAGTGTTCTAGAGAAATGTTAACAGCCTAAAGAGCAAATGTTTTTTTCTCTAACCTGTTGGTCAGGATGGATCCATATGAGCCTGGGAGAGGGGAAGGAATGATTTATTCCCAGGAGAAGAGAAGCACCCGATCACCTGCTTGATGAATACAGACCATGCTTCATTAAGCTGTGGATAGATCAAAGCTGGAAGGCAAGGGGAGGTCAGGAAAGAGCAAATAGCAGCATCATAGGAAAGTGATCTTTAAAAAGGATCAAACATTTCATCAAGCCCACATCCCAAACTGCAAACCAAAAGATCGTGGGGAACCTGGAAAAGGCTCAGAGATGAGACTCACAAAAAAAACCCAGCGAGGAAAAACAAAGGGTGGGGAGGCTGTTGAGCAGGAGAGCAGGCAGCTGTCCAGCTGGACACACGGTCAAGATGATGTTTTATTCCAGATGGTTGCTGGCCAGTCTGTTTCCTTTCAGAACCCTACAACAGCACCAGAGATTTCACTTAGATAGGGAAAGTTATTTCTGCTGGGAAATAACAAGAATCATGGATGTGGCTGGAAAGGCCCAAGGATACCACAGCTCTCCTCTGGAGGGTCTTCAGGGGACAAGGGAGGAGCTCTGCTTGAAGATTCCAGGTGCTCTGACCAGGGAATCTTCCGAATCTCACTTCACGACAGTGTCAAGTCAGTGCCTTTCAAATCTGCCTCACAATTCAGTCAGCTTGAAGGGGAGCAAGATGACATTCGGCAGGGAGGGTTCCCATGTCATTCCACAAAACTTGAAAGCCTCACATTCTCTTTTCCTTTATCCCGTTTAGTGAGATGTGCCCGGGACTGCGAGGGCTATTTTGCTGAACGTCTGTACAAGTCGATGAAGGGTGTGGGGACAGATGAGGAGACATTGATTCGTATAATCGTGACCAGGGCCGAGGTAAGACACACTCCCACTCTAAAGAGGCTGCTGTAGCTTCTGTTTTTTCCACCGCTGATGTCATCAACAAATAGTTTCTATTAAGGGCCTATTTACAGAAAAAGTAAAACAGAGACATCCCTTGCTTTCCCAGAATTTGTAGAAGACGTTGTGCTCCACTTCAATCTGTTTCTTTTTATAAAAATACGGTAATGATCATTGCTTCTTTTTTTTCCTCTGTGGCTCTGGAGAGCTCGTGGAGGAAAGCAGAGGCGACCTTGTAGAGCATTTCTGTGGGGCTGCAGCTACACACAGCTCCATGTTAAGGAAGACAAAACAAAGACACTTGAAAGAGGTCAGCCAGCAGCAGGGACAATAAGAGAATGATTTCCAAGTTCCTGAGCTAGGTCTTTCCTTAACAGCCACACTGCAGAAGAAAGCATATCAGCATAAGGCAATGGTTCTCTCTTTTTAAAAACTATTGCTCCTCTCAGGAGCCTTTTTAGACACATGTGTTTCCTCATTACCATCCCTTCCACCCAAGAAATTTTAATGCCAGAGATAAGGCTATAAATCTGTTTATATACCATGTGGATATCAGTGCTTTATACATAAAAATATTAAGGGTTTTTTCACCCCCTAAGAGCCAATTTGTGTTTGCTCTCCGAGAATGTGTGTGTATAAGAAAGAGAAAGGAGAGGAGGAGCCAACAGCTTGGGAGCAGCCGTCAGGCTCACAGCTGGCCGGGCGTGGTGGCTCATACCTATAATCCCAGCACCTTTGAGAGGCCAAGGCGGGCGGATCACCTGAGGTCAGGAGTTCAAGACCAGCCTGGCCAACATGGTGACACCCCGTTGCTACTAAAATTACAAAAATTAGCTTGGCATGATGGCACTCATCTGTAGCCCCAGCTACTCAGGAGGCTGAGGCATGAGAATTGCTTGAACCCAGAAGGCAGAGGTTGCAGTGAGCCGAGACGGCACCACTGCACTCCAGTCTGGGTAACAGAGCAAGATTTGGTCTCAGAAAAAAAAAAAAAAAAGTACTTTGGGATATGGGGCCACAGACAGAGGAGGTACAAAATAAATGGAAGCGGCATTTCATCAGCAGCAGGAGAAGCCTTAAGGAATGAAGTAGAAGTAAGAACTTGAAAACCACAGACATCTTCCCTCAAAAAAAAAATGTTGTTAAATGAAGGAGGAGGTGAAGGGGGAGGGAGACCAATGCAAATTCTCATCCATGGCTTCTTAACAAATAATACTTAACATCTGACACTGTTTTTAAATATAACTTTGCAACAAGACGGTTCTTGCGTTTTTACTTCTATTCCTGGAATTTCTCCTTTCTCCCATCTCCTCCTCCACCACTTTTTCTTTGTCTTTTTCTATTGAAGGCCACATCTCTCTCTCCACCCCCTTTCCCTTTGCTGGTCTCTCTGCTCTGCTCCTGCCATGCCTCTGCCTCTCTCTCCCATTGCTGTAAACCCCTCTCCTTCCCTTTCTCTCCAGGTCTTCTGCCTTGTCCGTCTCTCTGTCTCTTAGCAACTCAACCTCCAGCCAAAGTCACTAAGAGATGAGAGATTTTGAAGGTCTCAAAAGGGGCAGGTTGAACACAATGAAGACCCAGGATTCCAAAAGACTCCCAGAGAGATTGCATCCATCCAAAGGGCTTGTGAGGGTTCCATGATCACTCCAACCACAGAGTGTTTTATTCCAAAAACCTCTGTCCCAGCTCAGAATTAACCGCACGTCCCAGGCCATCTTAACATGTGGGCATTTCCCTCAGAAGGTTTCAGGTCCAGCTAGATAGAGTAGTTTGGCCAGATTTCCTAATCTCCTAAAGCCACATGGCACTAGAACAGAGACCTGGTGTACCCCATCCCCACCCACCCTCTACCTTCCTGCCCTTCCCCCAGCATGAGACAAGGAGCCAAGCAGTGGGGCAGGGGGACACACAGGCTGGGGGAGAGACAGACACCACCTGCCTCCTGCAGTCTCTGCTGCCCGCTCAGCATCCACTGCAAACCCTCCCTTACTCCCCCACGTTCTCTTGTCCTGATCATTCCTCTCACTCTCTCAGCTCAGCCCTGTAACTGAAGCAGAAGAAGAAAGAATCAGATCCCTGAGCCACGCTTTTTGGGTCTGGAGTAGAAGGTAGGGTCTAAGCCAGAAAAGAAGAAAAGAAAAGAAAAAGAGAAAATTTAAAAAGAGAGAAGAGAAGAGTGGAGAAAAGAAAAGTCAAGAAGATTCCTGTTTAAAAAGAGTTCTCTGCTTCTTTTATGAGTCCCATTACGTTCTACCTGGAATTCTATCTTTTCTGGTACAAGCCTCATCTCCTTTGCCAAGCTCTAAGAGTCTTTTGGCGGAGCAATCTTTGAATATATTTCTCTCCCAAGTCCTATCAACACTTCCAGCACCTAGGTTTTTCAAGCTTTGGATGAACTAGATTCAAAATAAATCCTGCAAGTTGATAGTGATTTGAATTGTGTTGACTGGCACTAATATCCTTGCCAATGAGCGTATGAGGGGAAAACCGCATAATTGCTTAATTTCACATCTCTGTGTTGACGATTTTCTTACTTTATACCAGGGGTCAAGTCAGACACACTGCCAGGCTGTGTACAGTCCTGCTAGCTTGGGGCGATTCATGTTCAAATAACTGTTGAAACTCAAAAGAAAAATAATATTTTGTAACATATAAAAACCGTGTGAAATTCAAGAGTTTTAGTGGAACACACACACACATGGACACCTCTGCAACCTTTGGGGAATTGACCTCTGCCTTCCTTTCCCTGGTCCCAAAATGGAAGTAATTATAGCACTATCTTAAGCGGCTGTTTTAAGGCATGAATGAGCAAATGAGTATAACGCGTGTAGAACAATGCCCACGGTTTGTGAACACACCATAAACATTCTTGTCCCCATTGCTGTTATTTTTCCTACAGGTGGACCTTCAGGGGATCAAAGCAAAGTTCCAAGAGAAGTATCAGAAGTCTCTCTCTGACATGGTTCACTCGGACACCTCCGGAGACTTCCAGAAACTGCTGGTAGCCCTCTTGCACTGAGCCAAGCCAGGGTAACAGGAACACAGGATGGAACCGCCTTTGTCAGGAGCACATTCCAAATCAAACTTGCAAATGACACTCCTGCATGAAAAACCCTCAAGAGTCCTGGATTACTTTCTTGGCAGCCTAAGCAGCACAGCCAGGCCAAGCTGTTTAAGTTAAGGGCAGCAATGTCAAGATGCTTGGGCAGGGTACCTTGAATGCTGGCTTAGCAAGCATCTGGGCTGCCTATTCACTTTCCTTTAGCATGATAACCGGATGCTTTCTAAACACAAATGAAATCAGCAGTTGATGAAAAAATAATGCATTTGTAATGGCACATTTAGAAGAATATGCATCACCCAAGGGTGTGTATGCTCTGGGTTAAGATTGAATGACTGAGGTACAGGAAAGACAAAATTAAACAATTTATTAATTTTCCTTCTGTGTGTTGTGTTCAATTTCAAAGCCTCATTGTTAATTAAAGTTGTGGTGTATGCCCCTATCAAGTGCTTTTCCAAAGATTGTCTTGATTAGTTTGGGCTCTTCTCTTGGAAACATATGACTTGTGAAATTCAAACATACATTTTTTAGTGGTCATTAATCAAGGCTAGTCATAAGGAAACAATTCACTTGCTTTTGTAAAATGTAACTAGGGGTAAAATTCCCTAATCTGCTACCTAGTTTAATTGGGTTTTCTTCTCTAGACATTTGACCCACTTGAGCCTTCCGTCTGATCTTCAATACAATTAGGTTGAGCAAAGTGCCAACAGGATCAAGGACAATGGTCTACCTCTGAAGTGAACTGGCTTCACACCAACAGATTCTGTGTTCCAAGACTTTAGTCTCATAGCCACGTGTTGCTAGACATAGAGGGATCTGTCCAGAGAACCTGGACACCTTGGCTCAATAATCATAGCTATCATTTATGGGCTGATTATTTGTGCCTGACACTACTGAGTAGCACAATTTCATTCTTAATCTTCCCCACAGCTCTCTGGGGTTAATATTACTCCCAATTATCAGTTGAGGAAACTGACACATTAAGTAACCTATCTAAATTCATTTACAAGTGCCATTTTCACATTGCTATAAAGACATACCCGAGTTATAAAGAAAAGAGGTTTACGTGACTCACAGTTCCACAGGGCTGGGGAGGCCTCGGGAAACTTACAATCATGGTGGAAAGGGAAGAGGCACGTCTTACATGGCAGCAGGAGAGAGAGAGTGGTAAGCGAAGTGAGGAAGATGCCCTTATAAAACCATCGGATCTCATAAGAACTCACTCACCGTGATGAGAACAGAATGGGGGACACTGAACCTATGATCCAGTCACCTCCCACCAGGTCTCCCCTGGGGATTACATTTGACACATGCTGATTACGATTCATGATGAGATTTGGGTGGGGACAATGAGCCAAACCATATCAATTAGCATTTGAATCCAGCACTGGGTGACACCAGAAATCATGCTACTAACTGCCTTTCTTGGAAAAATCACTTGAAGTACATGGGAATGGGTCTGTATTCATTCATCTGTCTAATTCTCTACTATCTGTCAATCACTGTGCTGTGCTCTGAGGATACAAAGATAAGTAGAACACTGAATCCCCTTGGGACTGTTCATTCCCAGCTCAATAATGTCTCTTTTAATCAATAAAATGCTGTAAGTGCATTTATAAAAGCAGTGTATTTGTCCAATTTCACACTGTTATGAAGAACGACCTGAGACTGGAGAATTTATAAAGGAAACAGGTTTAATTGACTCACAGTTCTACCTGGCTGGGGAGGTCTCAGGAAACTTACAATCACAGCAGAAGGCAAAGGGGAAGCAAAGCCCATCTTACATGGTGGCAGGAGAGATGGGGGCGGGAGGAAGTGCCACACTTTTAAACCATCAGATTTTGTGAGAACTCACTCACTATCATAAGAACAGCATAGGGGAACTCCCCCCCGATCCAATCACCTCCCAGCAGGTCCCTTCCTCGACACATGGGAATTACAATTCAAGATTAGATTTGGATGGGAATAGAGAGCTAAACTCTATCAAACAGGTAAAGGGCTCTACCGATAAGCAAGAAGAGAGAACACACAGCTCTGCATGGGAAACTGGGGAACACTTCCCAGAGATGCATTTGTGCTGGGTTTTAAAGGATGCATAGAAGCTCTCCAGAAAAATAAAGGAAGAAGGGCACAAGCAGAGGCTGGAGAAGCATGAGTGGGCAGGATGTGTTCAGGAAGAGGTGAAATCCACTCTCCTGGCGCATGAATATGTAGAAAGAAAGGAGTGGCCCCAGCAGGCAGGCAAAGCAGCTGCTGAAAATAGGTTTGAACCACATCAGCCATGGTTCTGCCTGCCAAGCATGAGTTTGGTCCTTTGGGCAACAGCAGTCGTTGGAGATGTTTAAACAAGAAACAGGATCATAACTGGGCTTTGGGAAATCACTTTAGTGGCTGCTAGACATAGAGGGCTCTGTCAAGAGAACCTGGACACCTTGGTCCAATAATCATAGTCATCATTCATCAGCTGATGATTTGTGCCCAACACTACTAAGTTGCACAATCTCATTCACTCCATTTGGTGGTATGATTAACATATAACAAACAGCCCAATCAGTCTAAGGATAGATGTCATAATTGTCTTTTTAATGGCTACAAAACAGTGATGGATGTATTAAGTTATGTAAGCATCAGTGTCTTCAACATCCAGGCTTATCTACTTAATAGTCATTGCCATCATTATAAGCTTTAATACACACAAAATTATTTTTTAGAACCAAGCTCAGTAACAAAACATACTTGTATTTACCTATTTGTTGCCAAAGATGATCTTTGCTTTTATAACCAGAAACAAAACAACCAGTTCTTGAGATCTGAACCCATGGTAAGAACAGAAAAACAAATCAATGGACTGAAAAGAGATCTATTAAAAACAAATAATTTGAGGTTGTTGATGGCCATAATTAACACAGAGACAAGCAAGAAGGTATTTCACAGGTGGAGAAACAGAGGCTGATAAGATGGAGAAGCCAGGTCACTTACTCAAGCTCACCCACAGAAAGCCCCAGGGCCAGAATTCAACCCAAGTCCTTCTGCCTCTAATGCCTGTGCTCTTTGCCAGACGAGCTCATGGTCCATGAGTGCTTTTGTCTGAAATTTTGCTGAGCAAGACCTCAAGGTTCCTTTCTGTAGCTGCTCAGTATTGCTCATCACTTGCAAGCTGGAGCCAGTTTCTAGGTACTCGCCTGGGATCTGGTCTGTCCTAGATATGCCCCACCCTTCCTCTCCTATGGAGGAAGCTCAGAAGTGTCTTCTTTTTTCCCTTCCACACACCCCCACCCTGCCCAGGTCCCTCTGACCTCTCCCTGTGCTCCCAGCCTGAAGGGCAGCACCTGCCTGTAGAGAGAGGGAAAGGGGAGGATAAAATAGAAAGAAGGGAAAGAGGAGAGCAACACTATCTTGCCATCTCTCCACTGCATGGGCCTATTCCTCTTACTAACCCCTTCCTCCAGGGCCACTGGAGGAACACCAGCTCCTGCCACCCAGACGCTTAGGTAGGTGGGGGGCTCTGAACCCCATCTCCAGGGCTGCACAGAGGAGAGTATATCCTGTCAGGGCATGCCATTCCCCATGAAATTCTGTGCCAGGCCCTGACTGGGCTCCACTCTATTGCTCACTCACGAGTCACCTGGGTTTTGTGGGTGAATAGATTCTGGGGAGCTGGCCTGGGTGAACGACAGAAGAAGCTGAAAGTCCCCCGACCCCACCCCAGGAGACAAGGGTGTCGCACGATTTACTGTGGGAGCTTCAGCCCTCAGATTCCTCTCAGTAGCGCTGAGGCTTCCAAGTGGCTCCCCCATGCAGGCCCGCCCCTAAAATGTGTGGGTTCAGCACATCTCTTCAGCTTCTGCCTCTGTCCTGAACTGGGAGGGACCTATGAGGACAACTTGGCCCACTCAGCCAACTTCTTTCCACAACCTGCTATGGACCCTGTGAAGAGACCCACAGCAACCTTGGAAGCCAACTCAGGGCTCAGGGCAGGGCCTTTTGAAGTCTCAGGTTCCTTGAGCTAGGTCAAGAAAAGGGTATCCAAACCACAAGTGGCTGCATCTCCTGGACCCCAGGGACTTCCCAGCCCAGGGGGAGGGGCCCAGCAAAGGAAAGCAAGGGGGTATTCTCCAGAGTGGGCCAGGGCAGGACCCCAGGGGCCAGGGTAGGACACTGCTCCCATGAGCCTCTTGGAGTGGCATTGGCCACTCACGTTCTTAGTCTTTTCTGGCTTCTAACTCTCCTATTTCTTCTGCTCAGGTTGCTGGGACCCTACATGGGCCTCAATCACATCAAATAGGCAAAATGCCCTCCTGCACATGTGCACATGCACAAACACACACACATTCCACTTCCTCCCGCTGCACAGGTGGCACTCCCTAACCTGGACTTCTGGGGCCTGATGGAGACTGGAGGCAACAGCCCTTTGTCATTTCTTTTCAGCGCTACCCCTCGCCAGGACTCAGGCTCTCAAGTCGAAAGGGCTAAAGGACAACTGGCCAGTTCCTATTTCCAATCATGTAATGAGCCTGGACCGAGAGCCTGCCATGGACCAGGCACGTGCTGGGTGCTCAGGGTCCCAGGGCGAGCCCCTCACGCCTCATCCTGCCTTTATGGTACTTCTTCTAGTTTGTGGGGAGACAAATAATTGTCAGGTAAACAAACCCAATCAGAAAGTGAGTACGGATTATAAAGCCAGACGTGAAAGAAAGACACTCGAGCCTGTGGTGGGTGGTGATGGGGGCTGGGCTGGAAGGGGAGGAGCAGGGAATTTCTTTACATGGGCAGCAGGGGAAGCCTCTCTCAGGAGAGACTGAGGGATGGGAAGAACCACCCATACATTAGGCAGGAAGAGTTTGAGGCACAGAGTATGTGGGGATGACATACGGAAGAACAGGGGTGGCTGAGGGACCCCTGGACAGCCACTGGTTGATGCTGTCTCATGAGGGAGGACAGAGCAAGGGGTGGTCAGTGGGGTGTTCAGGGTCTAAATGAAACAGGACCTCACAGGCCACAGTAAGGTGTTTGGGTTTTACTCTAAATGTAGTTTTGAAGTACTACCCCGTCCTTCCCATGGGGGTATCCCACATTCAGCCTCCAAGGTTCCACTCCTTTTTTGTTCAAGTTCCACATTCCCTATGGTTCCCAGTGTGACTGGGCCCCGGGACCATATGGTATTGCCCAGCCTCCCCTGAAGCCCCAAACCTTGTGCAGAGCCTGGGTCTCCATTCCAGTCTTCCCTCCCTCTCCTCATGATGAGTTCTTCTTTGAAGATTTTGATGTCATTTCCCACAAGATGACCTCAGTCAGTACCACGTGTCAGAGAGTTTCTGGAAACACTGGGTCCCGCTGGGTCACAGTCAGGGCTGTGGTGTTTTGGCTGATGTTTAACA